CCAAAATTCTTTAACTTCACCTTGTATATGTCTTATATCGTACGTTACAGTGTATCCATTTTGATAAAAATTACAATAAAAAAGTGTCTAAATACAAAAAACTTTTATTCTCTGTAAAAGTGGTTGCCGAAACCGAGGTGACTTCACGACACGCGCGCCTGGGAACACTGCTTCCACGCCAACATCACAGCAGAGGCAGTATACAGCTGACTGTGGACGGGTTAATACACAGTCTCGCAAAGTGGTGTGTTTGATATCAACTATAAGGTAATTCGTGGTCTAAAATCACTCATAATATCAGTAACTCAATTTAAAGAAAAGTTTTTGAAGCAAATATTATTTTTTGTAATTTGTCAAAAGTGAAAGTCACATAACACTGAAAGTTCAGGCGAGAGTCACGAGTTTCTTACATCACGTGTTATGACTGCAGTATTTTTTTGTGTTATGGAAATAGTGACTTAACTGTGGCTGAGCGTTTCGTTAAGATGAAATTAGACAATTGAAGCAAAAGTGTTATCGAGATTTTAACACTAGTATTCGAAAATTGGATATCGCTTACATCCACACCCACTTTCATCTGTGACTTTGTACAATTTGTCGTTAACTGAGAGTGACACAAGTGAAATGTTCGCTCCAGAAATTATTATGTACCAATATTATTCGGAAGAAAAACTCGCAAAACGAATCGAAGTTATATGAAAGCACGGAAGATCAGTGATGTATATCTAAAAGCAACCTTGACTGACAAAGATTTTAACGCGTGACTGAAGAACAAAAAAGCAAAACACGCAGTGCTATTGCAATACACGGCCAACCGCGAACCTCACATCCGCAAATATAAGACGAAAAAAGAAAAAAAAGAAGAAGAAAAAAAAACTGTGTCGCACTTCGTCACAGATTTACGAAGAGCGTTCCACGAAGCTCACGCTCGCAGGTCCTCCTCTCCCCCCCCCTCTTCCCCACCCTCCCCCTCATCCCCCACCACCCATCACTCTTCCCCAACCCCCGTCTCATCATCGTCCTTCACGCTCTTCCTGCATCCCCCCTTTCCCCCCCTACCCCCCACCCCCACGCCCTTCCCAAATCCTTGCATTCACATCCTCACTTCCTATTTGTTTTTTGTTTTTTTCCCTTCTCCACATCCCCACTCATGACACCCCCCTCTTCTCCCCCATCCCTTCAAACTTTTCCTACTCCCTACTCCATGTAGCTACTCCCCTCTCCACTCCCCACGCGCCTCTCTCCGCTCCCGCGCCCCCGCGACCCATCCCACTCCCCATTTCCTTCTTGTCCCCACACCTATCTCCCCTCTCTTCTCCCCACTCCCCTCCCTCACTCCCCTCCCTCACTCCCCTCCCTCACTCCCCTCCCTCGCTCCCCTCCCTCACTCCCCTCCCTCACTCCCTTCCCTCACTCCCCTCCCTCGCTCCCCTCCCTCACTCCCCTCCCTCACTCCCCTCCCTCGCTCCCCTCCCTCACTCCCCTCCCTCACTCCCTTCCCTCACTCCCTTCCCTCACTCCCCTCCCTCGCTCCCCTCCCTCACTCCCTTCCCTCACTCCCCTCCCTCGCTCCCCTCCCTCACTCCCCTCCCTCACTCCCTTCCCTCACTCCCCTCCCTCACTCCCCTCCCTTACTCCCTTCCCTCACTCCCCTCCCTCGCTCCCCTCCCTCGCTCCCCTCCCTCACTCCCCTCCCTCGCTCCCCCTCCCTCACTCCCCTCCCTCGCTCCTTTCCCTCAATCCCCTCCCTCGCTCCCCCTCCCTCCCTCCCCTCCCTCCCTCCCCTCCCTCGCTCCCCCTCCCTCACTCCCCCTCCCTCACTCCCTTCCCTCACTCCCCTCCCTCCCTCCCCTCCCTCGCTCCCCCTCCCTCCCTCCCCTCCCTCCCCTCCCTCGCTCCCTTCCCTCACTCCTCTCCCTCACTCCCTTCCACGCCTTGCTTGTTATTTCCTGCATATGGCATCCCTGGTTAATTTCAGTGCTCAAGAGCGATGAAACAAAACATGTTTACAGATTAGGTAGATATCAGTTGAGTACAAAAGATATTTAAAAAAATAATGTCGATTGTCAAGTCAGAGAGATAGAACGACAAATAGAGAGATATCACAGAAAAGGGAGGCATTTAGATGTGTACATTTACGTTATATAGAAAGAGATCTGTTGGAGAGACCAGGATGTTGATGACGTCAGATTCTGACTCATCCACCCATGCTAGGGCCCCCAACAGGGCCGGAAGGAATATGTCACAGACACACGCACACACACACACGTACAAACGTACACACACACACACACACACACACACACACACACACACACACACACACACACACACACACACACACACACACACACACACACATGCATACATGTATAGGCGATATACATACATACTGACAAAAAGACATACAGACATGCCTAAATATAGACATTGGTAGACACTTGTATTCACATTATTGTACGTATACATACATACATGTGTATGATTATTTATGTGATAT